GGGTCTAGGCCCGAAATGTCAGCTTTCCTGCTCCTCTGATGCTGCTCGGCCTGCTGTGTTCATCCAGCTCTACACCTTGTTATCTCAGATACTCCTGCATCAGCAGTTCCTACTATCACTGTTTACTATAACGCGTTTTCATTCATTTATTCATAAAAGCGTGATTTTTGTAGTGCATTTCACTATTGCGAGATAGACTGAATTAAAAGATTCCTTCCAAACCCATTACTGCTTCTTCACACCTTCAACCCTTCTCAGACCTATTTTCACGAAAAGCTACCCCTGAATAAATATCAAAGACGACTAACCTATTCAGAAACAATATCTTCATCGCCATGATATCTCCACAGCCCACCCGAAACTATGGAAAGATTGTAATATTAATCAGCCCCTTAGCAACCATCTCTCAGGACTTGAATAGATTGTAGAACATCAAACAAGTTCCCTCCACTAGCATGTAGCTGTTAAATACATATTGAATAGGGGGTGGCTGTCCCATTTAAGGAAATTACTATCTAAACTGTGCTTCTACGAAATTGCATGAATGAATGAAACTCACACCTGCAAAGAGTAAACAAAATCTCATGACCCAGCTGTGGTAATCAGTTTAATATCCTTTATACTTTTATTTGGAGCATGCATAATTTCTAACTTACTTAGATCATATAGGTCTAGTATTTTTACTAATATTGACTAACTTAAAAGATAAAAGGACTAACATCTAATCCAAGTAGCAGCCAGGACTTAGCAAATGTTTAAACAATCTCCTGCTTCCCCAGGACAGATGTCACACAAACTTCAGTGTCCAATAGTTAAAACTGTGTAACACCATAGTGATAGAATTTTAACATATGTAAGAACTGTGTATAAAGAGGCTACTGTAAGGACTGTACTTTGGGATTCCATCACCATCTTCAACTCTGCTACTGCGGATGCTCAGAGGCTATTTTCATCACTCACCAATTTCGGTCATTGTTTGAAACACCTTCCCACACCAGTCTATCAAAACATTGTCGGGGTCCAGTCAGCCCCCTCACAGTGCATCCATCATTCAAACAGATCAACAAGAACTTGCATTTATGTCGTGCAATCGGTGAACGCTAAAGAACAGGACAGGAATATTAACAAACAACATTTGACACTGAGCCCATAAAAGGCATGCTAGGGGAGCCCAATGTTTGGTTTAGGAGGGAGATTTTAAGCAGTCTCTTAACCCATGAGTAAGAAAGAGGCAAAAAGCTTCTGGGAGGGAATTCTAGGGCTCAACCCCTTGACGACTGATGGCACAGCTACCAATGGTGCAGCGATCAAAATCAGGGATAGAAATGCAGAAGCAGGAGTAGGCTTTCAGCCCTTTGGGCCTGTTCCACCAGAAGACCATAAATAAAGGAGCAGAATTAGGCCATTCAGCCCATCAAGTCTGTTCCACCAATCAATCATGGCTGAGATGTTTCTCAACCTCACTCTCCTGCCTTCTCCCTGTAACCCTCGATCCCCTTACTAATCAAGAACCTATCTAATTCTGTCCTACACACACTCAATGACTCGGCCTCCACAGTTCTCTGTGTCAATGTGTTCAACAGATTCACCACCCTCTGGCTGAAGAAATTCCTCCTCATCTCAGTTCGAAAGGATCATCCCTTCACCCTGAGGCTGTGCCCTTGGGTCCTAGTCTCTTCTACATGTCCACTCTATCCAGGCCTCTCAGTTTTCTGTACGTTTCAATCAGATCCCCCACCCCCTCACCCTTCTCAACTCCATCCAGTACGGACCCAGAGTCCTTAACCACTTCTCATATGACAAGCCCTTCATCCCTGGGATCATTCTTGTAAACTTCCAATACCATCATTCCTTAAATACAGGGCCCACAATTGCTCACAATATTCCAAACGCTAGATCCCAGCTGTTTATCCATTTCAACACCATATTCCCACAAGAGCCCCATATCCATCAATATCATTACTAACTAGAAATCTCTCAAACTCTCTTTTGACCTTACTCAATGACTGAGCCCCCACAGTCTCTGGGACAGAGAATTCTGAAGATCTACCATCCTCTGAGTGAAGACATTTCTCCTCATCTCACCTGCCCTCCTGCTGAGAGGGTGTTCCCTGGTTTTGGACCCCACAGCCAGGGGGAGTCATATGTTCGGCATCTACTCATTCTAGCCCTTTTAATTGGTTTACATTTCTATGAGGTGGAGGTGCTGGTGTTGGACTGGGGTGGACCAGGTCAGAAATCACAGGCACCAGGTTATTATCCAACAGGTTTATTTGAAAACACAAGCTTTTGGAGCCTCAGTCTTTCTTCAGGTGTTAGTGAGAGAGGTAGAATCAGACACAGAATTTATAAGTAAAAGGTGCACACACACACCCCCTCTCTCTCTCACACACACACACACACACACACACACATCCTCCCTCTCTCTCTCACACAAACACACACACACACACACACACACACACACACACACACACACACACA